CCTGGTCACCCTGAACTTATTATAATGATTACATGGAGCAAGAGAGTAGATAAAACCAAGACTCCTCAAGCTGGTGAGTTTAAGAGCTCCTGGCATAAAACTGGAACTTTACAGAACTATACCCTCAGGATATGGGCAATGAATGAGAAGTAAACTTGCTCCATCAAAAGAGAAGAGAAAATGCTTTTTATCCCCAGCACCTTTTTGGGGGGTGAGGTGAGGCATGGCGGTGGTCTGGGTGGAAAATCTCCCTTGAGAATTTACAGCCAACAACTAGTACTCGTGTGGTTTTGTGGTCTAAATTCGTACTGTATGCTTCAAGAAAGCTCAGGCAGAGAATTTAATTTAAAGACTGTCTAGACTGATGGTACCTACAGGTACCTGGCAGAAGCAAACATAAATACTCCCTGGGAAAACCTACCTTTAATCTTGACCCTAAAGAACTCACACAGATTAAAAATTGCAAGGGGGCCTCCCTGGTGGCACAGTGGTTGAGCGTCCGCCTGCCGATGCGGGGGACACGGGTTCGCGCCCCCTGGGAAGATCCCACATTCCGTGGAGCGGCTGGGCCCGTGAGCCATGGCCGCTGAGCCTGCGCGTCCGCAGCCTGTGCTCCACAACGGGAGAGGCCACAACAGTGAGAGGCCCGCGTACCGCAAAAAAAAAAAAAAAATCACAAGGAACATGAGTTCAGCCAATAAATCGTAAACACAAGGAAATACGATACTATGAATGAGCACCAACAGAAACAGGCAAATGAAATCAGATCTGAAAAGACTTCGAATACTGGAATTATCAGCATAAAATAAGTATACTTAATATATCTCACTAAAGAAAAACTTGAAAAGGAGCAAAATTTTATTTAAAAAATATTACCAAGCTGGTCTTTAGGGAAATTCTTTACTTAATCCACTGAGCTGTGGCACAAACATAGCTAAAGTGCCTGATTCAAGAGGGGTCAGTTCTGTGATTCATTAATATCAATCTACAATTTAAGACAGCCCACCCAAAATGTTCTAAAAGAATCTAGAAATAGATAAAGGAGATTTCACAGACTGTCAGGCTCAATATCATGCACCACATCACTCTGATGGCAAGAATGCCCTCATACTACCCACATCAACCAGAATATAGAGACCAGTTTCCCAGGGCTAACCTTGCAGGGTATACTTAGTACCATTCACTGACCCCATCACCAAAAGTTACTTTCTACCACCAATGACTGTAAGGCTATCACTCCATCTCTCCTAACCTTAGAACTTCTGAGGCACCTCCAGGGAAACCACTGCCCTAAAAGCAGGTCAGTCTATGGGAATTGCAACTGGAGGGCCTATGGTTAAGTACCAAACCCAAGAGGGATTGTGTCCCTGCAGGAGAATTGCAGGCATAATGAACACTGCAAGTAATACCGTGCAAACATCTATTTTGTTTCTCTTTTTCATCCTCCTGTAGGTTCACTACGCCACAGTGATTCTCAGTCTTTACTTCCTTAAGGAAGTAAACAAAACTTTCTTTAAACAAAACTCTGTGGAAGCTCACTATATAAAACATATAAAAGCAGAGCTGTTGGTTGATGAGACAAGAAGGTGGTCAAAGGCCTTGCCTTCCTCCCTCACCTGTAACCCACTCCCAGGTATGTTGGAATTTCAAGGGCAGTAAGGAACCATGTCTGAAAAGCACTGGCCTGGTGAGGATGATGATATAATGATAATGATGATAATTTAACTTAACAGCGATGCCTTTAGAGAAGAATAAAAAGGAACAACACATTATAGTCCCGGCTTCGTATCAGCCTAAGTAGAATACATCTATTAAATGCTGACCCATCTCAGCTGTCATCACCATTTGAGAACTCTGACCCCCTAGGAGTACAGAACTTCAGTTCAGGAGAAGCCCTATTTGTACTGCATGGTGAATGTTTCTAAGAGATTATAAAGCAGCATCACTCATGAGGCCTGGGGTTCCTTGCGAAAAAAAGAGGGGAAAAAATGCTTAGTTAACTAGTACATGAAGCATCAAGTACATTACGGAACTAGGAGCGCCAAACTATCTGCAAATAAGAATTTGAGAAGTTTCTTCTAACCACAGGAAAACTGAAGTTACTTGTCATAGATGGGTTACCTCAATGAAAGAAAAAGGAGGTTTCAAAATTTACAAGTCAAAAGGAAATTTCCAGTACTCCCTTCATGCATTTGTACTGGGAAATTTACAAGTCAGGCTCACTGTATAATGTGACAGAGGAAGTGATCTGGGTTTTCTCATCATATCTTAACCCTCATTAGTTATTTTACAAGATACATAAAAACTAGTGGCAATGATGGAGTTCTTGTTTATTTTAATGCTTCTGTCCTACCACTGTGGCCTAATCTGGAGAGGTACTAACTGAATTGAATGAGGATTAGGTCTACCTAATAATAAGACGGAATAACTTATGTTATTACCCACATGGAACACTTTGTAGCCACTTTTTAGCATGTTGTAAAAGAAAACTTAAAAACAGGGGGAAAACGCTGAAGTTATACTGAGTAAAAACAGACCTAGAACACTGTAATTCTAATTTTGTACTTTTTACAAGGTATACGTAGTCGTAAGGAAAAAAACTGGCAGCGTCCACACCAAAATATTACCAGCAGCTACCTGAGTGGTGGTTTGTATTTTGTTGTTTGAACTTGTTAATGCTCATCAAGTTTTCTGTTTAGAATTAGGAAAAAAGTAAATTTAAAAACAAAAAGAAATTTTGCTTTTAGTAAAACTGGTACAATATACCTGAAGTTCTAAGGTTTGTATATTTCATAAATTTTGAGACTCATATACAAATGCAAGAGCTGTGTGATTCTGTAGCCAAACTCCAGCCACAACTGCTTTGGAAGGCACAGCTGCTCACCAACAGCTCAGCTGAGCCAAGCCTAACTGCTCCCAGCAGCATACTAGGCTCAGTGTGGGAAAGGACACACAGCCGGGGAGGCACACCTCCCAGGTTTCAGTCCATCCTAACAGAATTGTCACTGTTTGGATGCAACCCCATCAGTGACTACACCAGGCTATCTAGAAGCCTCTGCCTCTGTAAGGGTGAGGCCTATTTAACTGTTTGCTTTAAGACTGCCTTTGTATTAATGTAAAGCAGGAAAAAATCCTTGGCCACATTTGCAATCTAGATGTCACCACCGTGTAATCAGTGAGGCAGCATAATTGTCCAAAGCACAGTCCGTGAAATCAGACAAATCCAGGTTCAAGTTCTGGCTCTACCATCCTCTAACTGCACGGGCTTGGGCAAGTTTCATAATGTCACAAGCCTCAGGTTATTCATCTTTCAAAGAAGGTTACCACACCAACCTCCCAGGATTTTATACACAGATTTTCAACTCATGTTGCCCACTATTGGGGACAAAACAAAAAGTGGATACGATTTATTCTTTTTTTTTTTTTTTTTCTTTTTTTTTTTGCGGTACACCGGCCTCTCACTGTTGTGGCCACTCCCGTTGCGGAGCACAGGCTCCGTACGCACGGGCTCAGCGGCCATGGCTCACGGGCCCAGCCGCTCCGCAGCATGTGGGATCCTCCCGGACCGGGGCACGAACCCATGTCCCCTGCATCGGCAGGCAGACTCTCAACCACTGCGCCACCAGGGAAGCCCGATACGATTTATTTTTAAACTCACTTAAACTTAAAACTCACATCCTTCAGGGAAACTTCCCAGCTATACATACTGAAAGTGATCACTTGAGCCAAGACTAAGCACTTGAATAGATGTCCTACATTTTAAAGGATTCAGACTCTGAAACAAGCTTGTGAACTACATGAGAAGATTTCTAGCAAAATCTCATCATTCCTTGCCTTTATCATCTTCACTAACTATATTGAAAGGATCTGGGTACGGGTACAAATGTCACAGACACAACAGGATTGTATCAGAAACATCAAAGTCCACTCATACTTCCTATACTGCCTTCATAATCAATTCAGAATGTATCAACAAAGACGTCAGAGCGTATGTTAGAAAGAGGGCATATTTTAATAATGTCAGATACCGATAATATACTCTCAGTGAAATTATAAAATTAGAAAATACTTGATTTTAATACACTAGTTAAATGCTATAAATCCCATTTCTGCCACTTACTCTCTGAGAAATAGTAGGCCAGTTATTCAACCACTTGGAACCTCAGCATTCTCATCTAGAAAGTGGGACTTGTTTAATGTTCTCATGACGGTATGATGATCGAAGATATAAACTATTTGGCACAGGGTATATTTAAAGTGTTCTATATTGGTAGATTGGGAAAAAGAACGCCTAAAGGATCAAGACGACACACAACATGGCACAGGCTATGCCATAAAAAAGGAGCCAGTGCATCAAAAGCCAGACATCGCTGAAGGTCGAAGGATGTGAAATAATGCGTTACCCTGACCTTGATGATAAAGTTGGTTGAGGAGTAAAGAATTATTGCTCTAAGCAAGAAAATGAAGTAACCACTTAACACTGTAACTTGAGGGGTCAAGGAGACAAGCAGGTCAAATTCAATGACTAACAGGGAACCAGTGAATCAGATACAGCTACCACCCAGTCAGACTCAGATAAGGCCTTGATGTCAAACAGGGTAGAGAAAAGCCAGTAAGTAACAGCTGATTCAAAGGACACACATTCATTGAGCTTTGATACTGACTGCCCCATTCTCAGAAGAGAAAGCAGTGAGGTATCTGGCTAGAAATTTACTATCGCTTTCATTTGTCCATAGTCAAATGTTGCCTTTTTTTACTGTCATCTTTATTGTATGCCAGGCAATAGGAAGGACTCAAGAGGGGCTGAGTCAGAGTTGCTTAAGAAAGAGTTAAGAGTGACATCCTGTTACACAGTCAAGTTCAGAGAACAACAGTCACTAGTGTATCTGAGGCCAGAGGGTGAGGTTCTGCTCTAAGAAGGTTCCCAGAGAATGGCTCAACTTGACTTAGTACAGAGTGTGCCACACTAGGTTCAATCCAAGCTCTAAGTCATGACATACCTCCAACAGCTACTGTTTTGCATTTATCGCTGGGTTCCTTTAAAATTATTCTCATGTACGCTTCCTGAGGCAGGGTCTTGTCTTCTATTTCATAAGCTTCTCAGCCAGACACTTTTGTGCATCCCAAAGAACTCAATGGTGTACCTAGAATAGAAGAGCAATTTAAGCTTAACCACTTTGAAAATGGAATCATGAAACTCCTACATTGAAAGAGACCTTATCAATCCAGGACACCTCACTATAAAGAAAAGCATTTAAGTTTTCAAGTATTAGACTGGAAACAAAAATTCACAACTGACCTTCCCCACCTCCCACCCCATCTTTTGTCACCCCCATCTTTTTTCTTTTTTTTTCTTTCTTTCTTTCCTCAATCTTTAATAAAAATTGTCATAAAATATACATAACATAAACTTATCCCATCTTTTCTTAACTGAAAACAAAAGTCTGTAACCCTCTATCACAGAGAGGTATCTCTCCTTTTATATATTTATCTACTATCTTTAACTGTCAACAAATAACTGATGTTCACAAATGAAGTATAGCAGTTTCACTATGAAAACAAAGGGTAACTCCTAAATTACCCTCTTTACAAGTTGACTGATAAAAAAGTGGTCATTTCTCTAGGCTAAAACACTACCCTCATGAATGATACCTTTCATAGTTATATGTGTGTAAATGGGTGTGTGCATAACTAGGAAGATAGAGATAATGTTTTGCATCTGACAAGGAACAAAGAAAGTTGTTCATTTAGTCCCTATTTACGGTCATTTGTACTTACATGTGAAAGAATGTGGAATCTAATGGCATCTAGCAAGGTGGCATTTCATGTTGATCGTGTTTCTTTTAATCAGCAACATTCTATTTTTTTCTTTATAACAATGTATTAGAAGTGGGTTCTCAACTATTTTCAGGATCACACAAGCCCCTCATCATTGAATATCTGATGATAGCTAAGCCTATTCTACTACCACTCAAATTTCAGGAGGATCTTCAACTCTTTGAAGCCCATCCCTGGACCCCAGGATAAAAATCCTAGGGATTTGCATGGACCAAACTGGGTTCCTATCTTAAGAAAACTAACAGGCTAAACTTTGTGAGGAAACAATTCTTGGAACAAAAAACTACTCTTGATAGTCCGTAAGGACCTAGTCATACCAAGCAATCTCCCATTTTAACCAACCTTTATCCTATCTGTAAGAAATAGCACTATCCTTGTAAATAATCAAATACAGTCAATAGAAAGCCACTGTCACAAACTAACTAAGAACAAACAAAAAGGACTCTCTTGCCATTACATTAGCTTAAAAGTATTCAATTAAAGCTTCAGAGTGGGCTTCCCTGGTGGCGCAGTGGTTAAGAATCCACCTGCCAATGCAGGGGACACAGGTTTGAGCCCTGGTCTGGGAAGATCCCACATGCCTCAGTGCAACTAAGCCCATGTGCCACAACTACTGAGCCCGTGAGCCACAACTACTGAGCCTGCCTGCCATAACTACTGAAGCCCGCGCCTAGAGCCTGTGCTCCACAACAAGAGAAGCCACTGCAATGAGAAGCCCGCGCACCACGACGAAGAGTAGCCCCTGCTCACCACAGCTAGAGAAAACCAGAACGCAGCAATGAAGACCCAACGCAGCCAAATATAAATTAATTTTTTTTAAAAAGCTTCAGAGTAAAATATATTTATATAAAAGAACATCATCTTCTGATGATACCAACATACAGTGCATATACCTAAAGATAAATCAAGGGTTCCACCCACCTAAAAGAAGTATAACTCAGGGGGCTTCCCTGGTGGCGCAGTGGTTGAGAGTCTGCCTGCCGATGCAGGGGACACGGGTTCGTGCCCTGGTCCGGGAAGATCGCACATGCCGCGGAGCGGCTGGGCCCGTGAGCCATGGCTGCTGAGCCTGCGCGTCCGGAGCCTGTGCTCCACAACAGGAGAGGCCACAACAGTGAGAGGCCCGCGTACCGCAAAAAAAAAAAAAAAAAAGTATAACTCAGGAAATAGGGTGTCACCTTATATTCAAGACCTCACTGTCTCATATTACAAACAAAAATCTGGGTTTTTTAAATAATAATGTTTGGGAAAATAACTTTAATTAATGCTAGCTTTGGATGCTTATAGGTCCCTTGACAGAAACTGGTTAACAAAGAGAAGCAAAGAAATAGATTGAACAATTATTTTCAGAGGTAGGATCTAACAATAGCAAATGTGAGGTATCATTTTTTAAAAGTCTTTTAAATATCATTTTAAAAAGCAATATGGATTTGGGGATTATGGATGCCCAATGGAATAGGTCTGTTTATCTCTACTTCCTTCTCAACCCCATTAAAATTACAGCAAAGAGGACAAAAGATATAAATCCATAAGGACAAAAAGAACAGAAAAGTATATTAGTGAAGACAACAGACATCAATGGCATTTTGGAAGCTGAAGGCAGAGATGACTGCTGAGCAGAGCAGAGCAGAGCAGAACAGGCAAGCAAACGAAAGAGAAGCAAACGAAGCTTGAGAAGCAAACGAAAATCCAGCCGAATGCTCCAGAAAGGCTCAGGACATGCAGCTTCTGGTCCCCAGGAGAAGACAGCAAGGAGCTGAGAAGAGGGAGGCTGACTAAAGTCTGTACAAAATGCAGTTAGATCCTTGCCTTATACCACATATAAAACTTAACTCAAAATGGATTAAAAACCTAAATGTAAGACCTGAAAATATAAACCTGCTAGAAGAAAACATAGGGGGAAAGCTTCATGACACTGGATTTGGCAACGATTTCTTGGCTATGATACCAAAAGCATAGGCAACAAAAGCTTTAAAAATAGACAAATGAGACTGTATCAAACTTTAGAACTTCTGTACAGCAAAGGAAACAATCAGAGTGAAAAGGCAACCTATGAAATAGAAGAAAATATTTGCAAACTATACATATTATAAGGGATTAATATCCAGAATATATAAAGAATTTCTACAACTCAACACCAAAAACCAAATAACCCTGTTAAAAAACCTGAACAGACACTTCTCCAAAGAAGATGTACAGATGGTTAACAAGCATATGAAAGTATCCTCAACATCATTAATCATCAGGGAAATGAAAATCAAAACCAAATGAGATACCATCTCACAGCTGTGAGGATGACCACTCTCAAAAACCAAAACAACAAGTGTTGGCGTGGAGAAAAGGGAACCCTTGTGCACTGTTGGTGGTAACGTAAAATGATGCAACCACTTCATGGAAAACAGCATGAAGGTTCTACGAAAAGTTAAAAATAGAACTACCCCATGATCCGACAATCCCACTTCTGGGTGTATTACCCCTCGCCCAGAACTGAAAGCAGGATCTCAAAGAGGTATTTGCAACAACCATCTTCACTGCAGCATTATTCACAATAGCCAAGAAGTGAAAGCAACCTAAATGTCCATCAACAGATGAATGGATAAAGAAGATGTGGTATATACATATAATGGAATATTATTTACTCTTTAAAAAAAAAAGGAAATCCTGTCATATGCTACAACATGGATGAACCTTGATTGAGGACATTACACTAAGTAAAATAAGCCAATCACAAAAGTAAATACTATGAGATTCTACTTATATGAGGCATCTGAAGTAGTCAAACTCTTAGAAAATAGAACAGTGTTTACCAGAGGCTGGGGCAGGGGAAAAAGGAGAGTTGTCCAGTGGGTGTAGTTTCAGTTTTGCAAGAAGAAAAAGTTTCAGAGACCTGCTGCTTAACAATGTGAATATAGTTAACACTACTATACTATACACTTAAAAGGCTAAGAGGGTAAATTTTATATTGTGTTTTTAACCACAGTAAAAAAATTAAGGAGATTATCCTGGATTGTCTACACAGATTCAAGGTAATCATCCTTAAAAGTGAAAGAAGTAAGCAGACAGGAGGTCAAAGAAATGCAACATGAGATGTATTTGACCTGCTGTTGCTCCTTTAAAAGGGAGGAGGGGGGCCGAGAGCCAAGGAATGCAGCTGGGGAAAGCGAGGGAATGGATTCTCCTCTGGGAAGGAAGGCAGCCCTGCAGACAATCCTGACTTTAGCCCAGCAAGACCCATGTCAGACTTCGGACCTACAGAACTGCAAGGTAATGCATTTGTGTTGATTTAAACAACAACCAAAAAGGAGTTAGAACTCCAGATCTTCTCCCCAACTAGTAGAGCCAGCCTAACCGTCCTTACTTCCATAAGAGGAAGCAGTTTACTCTCTGGAGAAAACCATACAGCAAGACTTCAGACTCAGAAACATCAGATAAGGTTGAAATAGAGGCATCAAGAAGTCAGCATTACAGGCTTGGATGGTGAGACGTCTGGCCCCCTCCCCCCACATGGCTCCCGCAAATCCTCACAGGCCAGCTTTTACCCCACAAAACAGTGAACAGAGGATTCCGTTATGGAGAAACTGAAAGATCCAAGAAAAAAGATTTGCAGATTCTGATGTCTTGGAGACAGTAACTCACACGTCCAGGTTCCTGTCCAAAAAGCCTATAGTGAAGTCCACTAGGTAAACAAATTTCCAGTCCACTTTTTATAGTCTCACTCGCAAATATGAACAGACAACTAAAGTCTCACCATTAATTTGAGTAAAACCTCTAACATTAAAATCAGGGGCCGAGGGACTTCCATGGCTGTCGAGTGGTTAAGATTTCACCTTACAACGTAGGGGGTGTGGGTTCGATCTCTGGTCCGGGAGCTAAGATCCCACCTGCCTTGCAGCCAAAATACCAAAACATAAAACAGAAGCAATATTGTAACAAATTCAATAAAGACTTTAAAAATGGTCCTCATCAAAAAAAATTTTTTTTAATATATTTATTTATTTATTTTTGGCTGTGTGGGGTCTTTGTTGCTGTGCTCTGGCCTTCTCTAGTTGCTGCGAGCAGGGGCTACTCTTCGTTGCGGTGCACGGGCTTCTCATTGTGGTGGCTTCTCTTGTTACGGAGCATGGGCTCTAGGCTCACGAGCTTCAGTAGCTGTGGCTTGCTGGCTCAGTAGTTGTGGCTCACGGACTTAGGTGCTCCGTGGCATGTGGGATCTTCCCAGACCAGGGATCGAAACCACGTCCCCTGCATTGGCAGGCGGATTCTTAACCACTGCACCACCAGGGAAGCCCCCCCAAAATCTTTAAAAACAAAATAAAATAAAACCAGGGGCCAAAACAAGTTGATAAAAAGGGGAAACAGAGGAAAAAGAAAAGTTCAAAAAGCAGACAGAAACTGCAAAATAATTCAATTCATATTCTCAAGGGAAAAGAGAAAATATTGTATCCATGAAATAAGAACAGGTTCCCATTTTTTTAAAGAAATATTCAGAGGCCAATAAAAAATTAAATTTGAAATTAAAAATATGCTGACAGAAATTAGAAGTTCAAAAAATACTAAGAAAACCTCTCAGAAAAAAAGAACAACACAGAAAGTTAGAAAATAGCTAAGAAATAGACATTAAAAAATTACAGAATCAAACCAGTAGGTCCAAATATCCAACTAACAAACTGACAGAAAACAGAGAAAAGGGTGGAGGAAAAGGAAAATTACCAAAGAAATAGTATAAGAAAAATTTCCAAATTAGAGGACATGAGTTTCTGAATTGAAAGGACCATGAACATCAACAAGCCGTAAGACATATGTTCCAATACGAAAGTTCAGAATTCTGGGGATAAAGAAAAGAGTCAAACATTTTCCAGAGAAACAAAATAGTTCACATACAACCAACTAGAAAGCAGAATGGCCTGAGACATTTTAGTATGTCTTGCAAAGCTCAGTCATAAACAAAGTATAGTCATAATAAAGCAAACATTAAATATGTATTTAACCACAGACTGTAACATGACTGCAAGAGACAGGAAGAGTAGATGTGTACTGAGGGTAAAGAGTTGTGTATGAGAGGTAAATCCTCAGCAGGAAATCAATGTGTATGTCTAAAATTTTAAAAGAAATCAAGAAATGCACACAGTGCGCTATTTAGAAATAGGTAGAAAATATAACTAAAAGAGTTGAAAAGTACCATCTTTGGGTAAAGGAGTAATGGGAGTATAAGAACAACAGGGAACGGCTGCTACAGTACTAGTTTAATTTTAAACAATGTACATGCAATTATCTCAAAATAAATAAAATAAATGAATAAATGGATGGAAGGAAGGGAGGGAGGAAGGGAGAAAGGAAGGAAAGAATATTTAACAAGGCAAATCTACAAACTGTTACACAGTGGAGATCTCCTATGTTCATCTACACAGAAAGAGTGAAAATAGCAACTATTCTAACATTATGCAAATACTTTCTTGTGGCTTGGAATAAAATTTCCAGTTATAGCACCATACATGAATTCCAAAAGTGCTGTATCACAAACAACTAAAATGATAACATGCTTGGCAAATGGTACTGGATGCTTCAAAAATGTGACTCTAATAATGAAGACACTGACATCAAATATGTATGTAAAGAGTTGGAAGAAAATTATTCTGAAGTAGGAAAGAAGTATTAATTGTAATATTATGTTTTATATAAATGTGATTATTAAATATACATGTGTAACTAGATTAATTAAATGGTATAAGTATGTACTTGACTATTACATCTATATCCCCAAAACATTCCTTATATGTTCAAGTTGACCACAAAAATTGTTTTGTTCTTCTCATGGGAAAACACGAAAAATGTAAACTTAACATAAAAGGTACATAAAGAAATTAATTCCATTTACCTGAATCCCGTTATTTCTCTTTATCAGTCTTCCTTCCAATCTAGAAGAAAATAATAAGTAAATTAAACTGCATTCTTCTGGTCATGAGCTGCTTATAAGAAAAAAAACTTAAACTATTATTTACTTCTTGTTCCCTAGCCATAGCAAAAATTGTTCTTTCCCATTTCTCAGCTAATTTCTGGCTGTCATGGTACTCAGAGTAAGCTTTACAAAGCAAAGCTATGCAGATGCAAGTATGTAAAGTCAAGCCAATAAAAAATTGCATTCCAAGTGTAACTAACGGTATCACGAGTTCTAGAATCATATATTTTATAAATTATCTTCTCACCATTCAGCTAAATAACCGCTGACAATACAGAGCATGAAGGCATGTTTTCAAAACATAAGAATTACGTAAAAAAGGAGTAAAAAAGGTAGCAACATGTTTATATTCAGTATCCTGGGATAAACTACACACCATATAAATGTTTATGATCAAAGAGCTTATAAATAGACTTTAATCCACCTCATCTTAAAAGCTTAGAAATGCTTCCTCATTGAATTTCACAAAAGACTTTGTCAACTAAAAATGAAATATAGCCCTTTGAAAATATATATGTGAATATACATGTGAATTACGGTACCTGCAGAAAGAGGCGAAAAAGTACCCTTTTAAAAAATTAATAAACATTTGTATTAATATATTTTATACTACAGAAATCTTGAGTGGCTTAATTTTCCTAAAGTGAACACATATGTGTAACCACCACTCTCCCCAAAGATCACCACTGCCATGACTTTGAACACCACACACTAGTTTTGCCTGTTGGATCAAGGATCTGTCTGAGAGTCTAAGAATCTCTGCATCTGGACCAAAATAAAATGCAAGAGAAGCAAGTAGTCACAGACTGCAAGAAGATATTATTTCAGAAAGATGTTGATGTGTCTGAGGAAGATGTTTTGACTGGTTGCATGGTTGTTTGAAGTCAACCTGCAGGGTCTCCAGAGACCGCAGGAAACAGAAGGTGTTTTATGATATAAATAGCAGGGAAAGGGCCTTTCTTCCTATTGTCCAGGAGGTATGTACGGTTGGAAGTGACATGTGAGAAGCAGGAGCAGAGGGAAGGGGGGAGGGGGACAAGGGAGTTTGGACCTCCTTTCTATAGGTATAAAAACACCTATAAAATAAAGATAATTACCAAACAAGTATGTTTAGTCTACTACTAGTCTAACAAGCTAGACCAAGTTACTGACGCATCATCTCATTTGATCTTCCAATTGCTCTGAAGACAGCATATCTTATCTGCCTGTAGACAGATAAGGATATTAAGTCTCAAAGCAAAGTATAGTGCACAAAGTTAAACAGTTAGTAGGTGACGCAAAGCTGTTCCTCTTTACAGCCTGTATGCAGACACCAAAAACAAAAAGGAAAATGTTCACAGAAAAGAAGCCATTGTAATTGGATACAGAATATATTGTATTGTCTTTGCCCATGAATCATTATAAGAAAAGAACCAAGTAATTCAAATTCCATCAAGTCTTTCTGCTGAATTACCAAAAAGGTGAATGGTTCTGTTACGTGTAAACTAGGCGTACTCATCTTTCTGTACCTCAAAGGAGAAATTTCAAAAGAAATCCTTAAATTTCACAAGGTGTAAATTTCTGACATGTTAACTTGTTTTATCCACTTTGAATGCCTTGTCACTGCAAGTGTGGAAATCTAAAGAACATGATGTCCCTCAGAGAAAGTCACAGATACAGAAGGCAAATTACCACCAAAAATTATTGAGGAACCTATGATAATGTCACCTTCAAACGATACACCACACCTGCATGAATATCTAATTCTATCGTAAGTACATTCAAAAAAGCGGGGGCCAAAATGAGAACACTCTTCAAAAAGGGAACTTTCTAATCTGCTACTTGAGAGGGAGAGGAAATAAAATATCTAAAAAGAGTTGTTATAAGACTATGTGATAAGGCCTTCTTGCATCCTCACTGATAAATACAAAATAATATGTCAATGTCAATAACTATGATTGTCAGACATCATGAAATGTCTTCACATTTAATCCTGTAAGAACCCTGCAAGCAGGGAAAGGTTAGGATCACCAATTTATCAAATGCAGACACTGGGCCCAAACAGGTCATATAACTTGTCCAAGGTCAGAAAATTGTCCAAGGTCAAAAACTTGTCCAAGACTTCAACGCGAGGAAGTAGGAAAAGGTCCCAAATCAAGTAGCGTTGAACGCCAAAAACAGAGGACAGTTCTGGCTTAAAGATGATAGCAACCAAATCTGCTTTCCAATTCCAAATCATTTAGTGATTCTTTCACTATTTTCCGGTTTCCAATTGTTTTTGATGTGTCCTGAGCAAAGGATATCAACGTGCCTTCCTTCTGCGAGACGGGGGGAGGTTTCTTGTTAGCCAGTGGCTTGAGGACAGGAAATAAAAATAGGTCTGGATGGACTCTTTTTATGGATTTAGATAACTGCTAAAGCAGCCGAGAGCTCTCTGGTGATTGTCTGTACCAGCTCTGGCACAGGGAAAGCATAGTAAAAGCTGCAGGCTTGATTTTACAGTGGACACATGCTGTGAACATACCATGTGAATTCTTTCTGGGACTAGTGAGTAAGAGAGTTAACTATGCTCACCTTGCACAGTAAAGCAGGAAAAAAATTATCCAAATTACACTTAGATGGCCGTGGCTTTAAACTTTCAACTAAGACTGAGTATAGTAAGGCAAGAATCTTTGTAGACATTAACCCAGTGACATTCAGAAGAATATTGGGGGGAGTGGGGACAGAGTAAGGTACCCTTCCCTTATTTACAATAATGCTGGTATAGCAATACCCAAACTCCTGTGTTTTTACTACTGCTGACTTCCTCCCAAGAAAAACTACACTGACGTAGGAGAAGATTCAAAGTAAAAAGGAATGAGCCTCGGGAGCAAAGCTGAGGAAGGAAAAGACTCAAGTTCACAACATTCTCTAAGGCACGGCAAACTCCTACTCTACAAGTCCTTTCAAGGCTTATGACTCCCTCTTAGGTCAGGGAGGGCAGTGGTTCATCTTGCTAGGTGGCTCACAGACATAAGACACAGAAAGGGCAGCAGGTATGCTTCATTTTTTGGCAGCCCTGTCCCAAACTGAATTATTGTAATTCAGTTGCTTCTTCTCAGGGGGAAAACGGTATGTAATTATACTTGAATACTATAGTGAGACCAGTAACAGCACGTGACCAATTTAATTATATTTTCCTATTTTTATTAAATTTTCTATTAAAATTATACTTTATTAGAATAGGAAAAACCACTGAAAGTGTCCTCATTCTCACTCATAAACAGAGTGCTATGCAAATTAAATCTTACTTTAAAAGAGTTCAAAATCCAAAGTACAATAATAGAACCTTTTCTTTCTCGGCTTGGCTTGGAGAAGAACCTTTACAGTCTTAAGACTACAGTTGCGGGACCTCCCTGGTGGCGCAGTGGTTAAGAATCCGCCTGCCAATGCAGGGGACACGGGTTCGAGCCCTGGTCCAGAAGGATCCCACAAGCCACAGAGCAACTAGGCCCATGCGCCATAACTACTGACACTGCACTCTAGAGCCCGTGAGCCACAACTACTGAGCACGTGTGCCACAACTACTGAGCCCGAGTGTCTAGAGCCCGTGCTCCACAACAAGAGAAGTCACTGCAATGAGAAGCCCGTGCACCGTAACGAAGAGTAGCCCCTGCTCGCCACAACTAGAGAAAGCCGAGGTGCAGCAACGAAGACCCAATGCAGCCAAACATAAATAAATAAATAAATTTATATAAAAAAAGTAAAGTCATAGATGATAATTAAAAAAAAAAAAAAGAAGATGACAACTACAGTTGCAAAGCCCCAGGCATCCTGTCTAGTTTATGGTGACTGCAAGTTGCAGTCTCCTGCTGGAGATACTGCAAGGCTTCCTTCTGCTAGCAGCTGGGACCAGTGTTCTTCACCAGGGAGAACACGTCCAACCACACTCCAGGGAAGTCTTATTCTCCCCTTCGCTACAGTACATTCTTACTGTACAGCTCCTTGAGGGCACGAGCTACACTTGACCAGTGTTCTGTAAGATGTTACAGAAAAACTCGAGCGAACTTTTTGGCCAACCCAATATAATGCTCTCAGTACCTAGGACAGACATTGGTGAGCACCCAACAAAACCCTACCATGTTTCTCTGTTAGCAATTATAACAAATCAAGCCCTCAGTTCAGCCACCCTTACTTTTCTCGCTTAGTCATTATTATCAAAAGTGGATTACTACACGCCCTCGAAAGACTTAGTCATTGCTAAATGTTTGCCCCTGCAGTTCCCTATAATGTCCTTCGCCTACCCTGCTCCCCACACGGTTAGTCCATGTCTGTCACGGGGCTTAGTAAGAACAATGGAAATAAGCATACTTGCAATAATGAAGGAATTGTCCACATGCTCTTTTCTGACTTAAGAACTTTTTTCTCAAAATATTATATGCACACCAATAAATTCTGGATTGGTAATTATGTCCACATAATATTTTATTATAATTTACCTTCCAGTAAAACCATCTTTACACAGTCTTACGTCACTATCAAAAAAAGTTTCAAGTAAAATAGAATCAAAAACTATAACGCCTTTAAAAATTATCTAAAACACATCTAATCTATCATTGTCCAAGCAGTCTCCCTCTGAAACAGTCACACTTTCTCCCTAACTACTCAGAAAGTCTCATAAGTTATGCCATATCCCAAACACACAGTATATACAGGTCAGCAATGTAAGAACTACTTTAAAAATGAATCCAAATGCCTTGCCTTTTGATTCTGGATTCTTCTCAGATATTGAGAACAAATATTTCATGGAAATTCAAGGAACTCACAACAATGAGAATTTTCTAATTTCCTTTTTAAATACTTTGCAGTAACATTAGAGCTTCAAAAGAAAATTCAGCATGAATTGTCAAACCAAGCTACCATAATAAACTTTGCAAGTCACAAAAACTGTATTTTGTGTTCCTAAAAAAGGCAAAATTTAGCTGGCTAATAAGAATATAA